TTTTTTTTTTTTTGTGTCTGTCACCACTTTTTCTCAGCTCTCACTGGACCGATTACTTTTAACAATACGTCAAAACATCACAAATTGTATCTAGTTGAAGACATTAGCCTTAAAAATTTTTAAATTTTCCCTCGTTCCCCGCAAATGGGGAAATAACCAAAAAAATTACAAATTTAAAAATCGATAAATTTAAATAGATAGATAGTAAAGATAAATCTTTACCTATCATTTGATATATTTTTTTTGTAAATCTGACCCTCTATCTGCCCACAGGGGGGATTTAAAATGACAACTTTTTCACAAAAAATTTACTTTTTCAACTTAACTTTTGAAAATGTTCCGGAAGGTCTGACACTTTTATATATATCTTAAATTAAAGCTAATGTAATATACTTTAGTTTGAAAAAAATAAATTTGACCTCTGGACTTGTCTTCATGGTGAAAATGGCTACCAAATGCTATTTTTGTGTAAAAATTCTCGATTTTATAATTTACATTTGTAATGTTGCAGAATTTAATTAGTTTTTAATATATTAATCTTATCAATTAGATGTGTGTGCAGTAGGTGTAAAGTATTTTAATAATTTTGTATATGATAACCTCCACTTGTCAACCGGTCCGATATCTGTCATCATCAGCTGACCATACACAATGCACCTATACCCATATTGTTGTATTTTCCCCCAATGGACTTGTCAAAGTTGGTACCACCACCACCCGGCGTCACGATCACCGGCCACTACACAAATGCCGCTACAACAGATTTTTTTTTTAACACGCTTTTATTAGTTTCACTTGTATGTATGTATGTATGTATGTATGTAACTCTCCAAACGCCACGCGTTATCGCATATTCCGTCGTCTAGACTAGACTGTCATAACGCATTCACCCCTCCCCACGCCTCGCTCACATCACGACGGCACACTATTCCTATAAAAATTTATTTTTAGTTATCGTACCCGTACACGCGTGCTTGTCATCAATATTATATATATATAAACAAATTTTTATTTTGACTGACCAATACCGCCCGCGTCTAATGCGCCTTACGTATATATATTTATATATTCCTACCACCGTTTATACCTCAGGTATAACGTTAGTCCGACCCGCCCGCCCACAAAATACGGTTATACCTAGTGCATGATACGTTTACGTACTTAAGTCGCTTTACTTATTATTAATTAATTACTTTTTAAATACTTATTAATTACTATTAAAATTTATTTATTAACACGCTTTATTTTAATTAAGAGATATAAAGTATTCATTCCGATTACGAGGGATGATTTCCGAATTGTCATTTTTCGTCACTACCTCCACGTTCCGGGAGTGAGTAATTTACGCGCCTGCTGCTTTCTTTGGATGTGGTAGCCGTTTCTCAGACTCCCTCCCCGGAATCGAACCCTGATTTCCCGTTACCCGTAACAACTATGATATTGATAGTAACTACTATCATAACATGAAATTAAAAAGTAAAAAATAAATATAGTTTAAAAGCGTGTTTTTTTAGTTTTTTAAACTATATTTATTCCACCTATACTGCCGAGGCGACAAGTTGTCCGTTTGTATTTTTTGTGAAAACCACGTTATTGTATTTTTTTTTGTCCTCCGTTTTTTTTTATCAAAATTAAACGTCGAATGGATCTGCTGTCCACCAAGTGATGTCGTTGTGTTTTTGTCCTCCGTTTTTTTTAAATAAAACGTCGAGTTGATCTGCAGTCGACTTGTGGTGTCAACCAGACTGTATTTTTTTTGTCCTCCGTTTTTTTATTTAAACAAAACGTCGAGATGGTGATGATGATGATGATTATGGCGTAGGCACAACTATGGCCGGTGGTGGGCCGTCACTCCTNACCCACGCTTTTATCACAATAATACTAGTACTTTTCGTTCATTATTGTTTTACGCTTATTTTAAAAATTATTTTTAACTTTTTAGTTCGATTTGCTTTAAAAGCGTGTTTTTTAGTTTTTTTAAACTATTTCTTCTCCTTTTCATAGTCATTTCCTATGAATATATTTATATCTTAAATAGTAATTATACATTATTATACACTTATTTATTAGAAGTTGCCTAAAAAATATTGATAGCGCTGGTTCAAGGGGTCTCATAACTCTCATAAATACATTCCTGTTATACACAAAAATTATTAATAATCTAATTATATTAATTGTGTTTATATTATAGAATCGTTCAAAAAAATTGAGCAGGTTATTATACATGGCACATTGTAAAAAATTTAAGTTTGATA